CTGCTCTGCCCCAGTGAAATCTATAGCAGTTCAAGAACTCCAGCTCTTGCCCCATCTGTAACTTTCCAGCAACAGGTTACTTTAAAAAAAAAAAAAAAAAAAAGTAAAATTTGGCATTGAAACAGAAAATATGTGAACCTGTCACAGTAAGCAGTCTCAAAGGGCAAGCTGCTTTGCAGGAGCTAATTAACCTTAGGAAATAATTACACAAATATGCAAATGTTGTTTAGATAATTCCATGTGTTATAAACTCAGGTAGTCCATCATAACTGCAGACCTTGCAATGTCTAGGTGTTAGAATCTGGCATAGTTGATAAGGCTTCGGTTGCTGCATCACTTCAGCTTGGTATTTAACAATGAATGACTGTGATATTACATTAGTAAATTCAACCTGTTTTTTGAATGCAACAGAACGTAACACCGTATTCACTGCGTGCACGCTGCTTATCTGCATATTCCTAATGGCTCCAGCCATTAAAATGTTATATACCTCTCAACTCCAAACGCTAGCTTTATTGGAAAAAATGACAGACCAAAATCTGTGGTCCCTTACTCACTTTTTTGCACAATAGATGGCCTGAGAATTTACCCACAATCATTTTGGGTTTTCAGGGACTTAAAAACTATTATAGATAGAATTGAAAATCTGCATGCCAGTTTTCTCAAAGCAAACCCTCTTATTAAAGCATGATGAGGAGCAGCATTTTATACAAGTGTGTTTCTGTTAGTGTTTTATAGACCCCAAGACAACATAGTCATGGGCTGCCATTCTTGGTGTGAGGTCCCCCCAAAACTGAGCCCAGCTGGTCTAGGCTGGAGCAGCCCAGGATGTCCCTAACCCATTCCAGGACTTGAGTCGAGGCTGAGCAGATCAGCAACTGTCAACCTCTTCCGTACCACAAGCTGCAGCTTCAAGCAGCTGTAGGAGAGGTTCTGCCCTGGGATATTAAATGGCTTCATATATATGAGAAACATGAATTTATTAATCATCATTGTCATATTATTTTCATAGACTGTACTATTAAACTATTTGATTAAACTTTTGATATTAAAATTAAGAGCTCCATATTAACCATTTATGATCATTTTTTTAAGCAATCGCTATTTTGGTTTAAAAAGTGAGGCATTTTTTATATATAGTTAAGAGAGCATTTAAAAAATACTGGGGAAAAAAAAGTCTTTTATCACTAGAAAAAGGAATCTGTTCTTAAACCAGTAGTTGTGAATACTCATCTCTTCTACATGAAAAAAAAAAATCATTCTATTTGCAAATGCTTGATGATCATTTCTCATTCAAAAGCAGTATGTCCATGTGACAAGAGAATCTTTATCATTAGCCTCATGCAGGTGTCATTAACTGAATCAGAACCTAATATCTGGCTGCTTGTATTCTATATTACTTTTATGGATGCCCCTTTTATAGCAAGTTCCAGAAATGTCTGCCTCCTCTAGCATTCAGGAAAAGGGATAAATAACATCAGCAATCTAAAATACCTCGGCAATACTTGTGTTAAATGATTTTAACCACCTTTATCTCCAAGGCAATCTTCAGTGGAATTTGCTGCATGCAAGTATGACAGGTGTGCAATATCTGATAGTCTCCGTAGCATTAGTAGTCACTGATGGCAAATGAGGTATATTCGCTCTATTTTTATCAGTGAAAAGGACTAAAATACAATAGTTATTAGGAAAAAGACACAGACATCTTTTCATTTATTAGTGAATTAAAGGGTAAATCTTACTGATAGTATTCCATTAAAACCAGAGGCAGGTAAGATTTTGCATGATGGGAGCACAGGCAAGGGTCGTACCTCCGTCGTACCACGGAGCTGGGGTGCAGGAGCAGAGTCAGAAGGTACCTGGTCTGAAGTAGCCCAACAATTGCCTCATTTTGGATTACGGTGCATTGGTTAAGCGTCACACAGAGGCCTTTTCACATAACACAGGTCTCCATTTTTTTTAATTTTATTTCTAATTATATATATTGGGCGGGGGAGAGATTTTCAGAGAGATGAAGACCCACAGCTGTGACTTCCACACCTCTGAAAAATCAGACTGCTTATTTCAACATAGAATTACTGGTTACAGATGACCAACTTTCAGCAGCTGGAGATCTAAGTTCAACTTGCCCAGCACCTTTCCATCTCAGTCTGTTTCACAAATGAGAATGCATTCAGCCTCAGCTGCCTTCGGAGGCACATAGCGTGATTTCTCCACTCCTTTCTGTACAATCATGTAGGTAATTATGTAAAGCATGACCAAGAGGCCTCCACTTTATCAAATAATTTAACAAGGTGGTATATAAGTGCATTGTATTTAGCTGCAATGAAAAGAAGGAAAGCAACAGCTGCCTGAAACTGTCACCTTTCATACTGAAACTGCAGTATCCAGCCTCATAATTTAACCCAGGCCAGGCAGAGGAGGTTAATCCCTGGGTCCTTATGGACCCAGCACAATTTGAAATCCTAAGGAGACCGGCTGTATTCTGCAGTCAGCGGTGCCCGCTCGTGCAGCCAGATGTTTCTTGTATGGGCATGGCGATGGTTTATTCTCTGTCCGAATTGTTTAAAATACGGGCTTGTTACGAGGGGAAAAAATAAGCAGATGCTCTGAAGAAAGAGCTTTTCTTCTAAACATACACGACTCCTCCAAAGTCCTTCTCGTTTCTTACCTTGTTTAGCGTTTAGCAGAGTATGTACAGCAACACAGTTTATCCTGACATTTTATGGGTTTTTTTTTCACCAGTAACAAAGGAAACTGTAGTTACAGTCTATATCTAACTTGTTCTAGCTCATTTCTTTTTGCTTTTGTAAAATTCTGTTGAGTCTTTGTACTGGACTGTGAAGCTGTGCATTTAATGATTTCATTTACTAGACCACTGGTTATACTTTAATTGGTTGAAGGTTTTTCAGACTGAGTTTCTGAATCCTTCAGAAGCTTCTTGCTGCTGTCTTAGTCTTGTGGAAGCCCTACAACTGTACTCTTTTCCCAGCAGCGTGTAGAATAATAAATACAAAATATCTGAAAAATGCAATATTAACCAGAACCAACCTCTTCTTTTAGTCAAACCATTAAACCAGGGTTATGTACTTGTACAAAAATTGCTGTTACGAGAATTAATGGTAACATTGTACTTAAAAACAAATATCTTCTGAATATTTAACTAAAATAAATCTTTTAGATAAACTAGTCTTTTTAAAACTCTCCTGGTGTTTTAATGTGCTTTTTCCATATGTATAATAATTAGAGTACCTCACTTTTCTGTAGGAAACTCCAGTTCAAGTTGTCCTTCAGCTTTATCTTAATAACTGGTCTGTCAATCATATTTTCTTTATGAAATTTCTTTTGAAAAACTTCCCTCTTTCCTCACAAAGGAAGGAGTCTTTACCTCTTTTACCTACCTGTACAATGACATTTCAAAATAGGGTTGAAAGAAAATAAGGCCTTTCTCATGCTGAGGTGGTTTACTATAGTTGATACATAATTAGTTAAAACTATGTTCTGTCATAGTCAATCAAGAGCAGAATCTGTCCAGGAGTAAGAAGAATACCTTCAATGCTTTTTGGCAAATTTGATAAATATGTTTTAATCGCTGCTACCTTAGAGAAAAAAATTTAAAAGCATATAATTGTTTTAAAAGCTTTGGGTCCAGATCCATAAAGATTTGTCACCATCTCACTTTTATTTAGGAAACCGGGCATGAGAATAGAAGTAAAAGCCTCAATCCACCACGTTATTTAGTTGTCTGTCTTCTCATTGATTTTAGACACTTGTAAGAGCTTAAATTCCCAAAACTGTGTTTCAGAGTGGGGCTAAGACCCAAATCACTCCAGTGTTCTTGGTAAAGTTAAGGTAATTCACGATGTAATTAGCATCTTCTTATTGCCAGTGGCTTTTGCTGGATTGTACTTTATTTTCCCCAAGGAACTGAGGCTCTTGTGGTCTGCATCTGAGTCACCTAGGGGTATGAAGTTGTTGGTGGAGCAGAGCAAAGGGAAAAGGGATGCAAGTTTTAGGAAATGTCATGACCTTGACTGATCAGCTCTTTCTGGCACAAGAGAGCCTGAAAAGAGCCTTGAGTGTTGTGCTAGAGAGGTGTGAAATCCTGGTGGGGCAGGGGAGCTAGCAGAGCATCTTACTCTTGTCGCCTGGGACTAGACAGATTTGTACTTATGACTTGAACAACCTGAGAAATAAGTAAAATATAGAGGAGTACAGGGCTTTCCAAGAGCCTCTAAGGAAGAGGTGGGAATGCATAACGCCAATGTTTGAGGAGAGTGCACTAAAATCAGTGTAAATCACTCCAGTGCCTTCAGTGACTCTTACATTGACTGGCATTCACAAATTCTTGTTCAATAATAAGAAAAAGCACTCCCCTAACTACCAGAGACTCCAAAGTAATGGCTAATGTATAAGCAGTCAAGAGGTGTTTTATCTGCGCTGCATCTCATAGTCTGCAGTTGCAAAAAGTAGCATTTAGAAGAGTAAGTGCAAATACCATAATTTTAATCTTTGGAAAATTTCCTTTGGCCCATAATATGAAAAAATTGTAAACACTGAAATTATGTTTATATTGTTCCTGCTTGTTTTTATTTGTTTTATCAGACTAAGGCTTAACTATTTTAAGCAAACCATCAGTGAACAAACACTTGACAAAGAGTTGTCAAAAGAATGAAAATCAACACAGTGGCTCATAATTTCTTTGAATGCCACTGTTTAGCTGAATTGCTATCATGGTATTTAGACAAAATTTTGCAGATGCATAATTTTTGTTGTATTTATTAAAAAAAGCCACAATAAAGCAACAGTTTTACTGCCTTTAAATTGCAATCTTAAATTTCTTTTATTTAGACAAATGAATCTGTTCTTTTTTGACACTAGAGTATATTCATTTGAGGTTTGTTTTAACAAAACATCTTAACATATAGGAACACATTGCTTTTAGACAGAATTGCCAGTTTTTAAAAGGTAATTGTCATAAACATAATTTCTTTCTGCAGGATAATGGATCTCCTGAAGAACATGCAATTTATGTTTGGGACCATTTTATTTCCCAGTCAGCTGCAGAGAACGTGTTTTTTGTTGCTCACAGTTATGGTGGACTTGCCTTTGTAGAGTTGGTAAGTGTGACTTCTCCATTGCCTTCTTTCCTGAAGTCTTTCACAGATTTTCTAAATTCTTTGTGATCACCTTCTTGAAAGCAGCCATTTAGGAACAACTTTGAACCAATGGTCAGCTACAGATCTGTGAGGATTTCTTTGCAGCCGGCAGGTCACTGCATTTTTCTCTGTTTTTGAGTTAGACAATAAGGTCCCAAGTGTGCACAAACCTGAAAGACTGTGGGAAAACAAAACGCATTGGATCCTCCTTGTCCAGGCTATGTACTGAAAGGCAGCACTCTGAGTTTCTGCTCTGGGGTGAAAAGACTGGAGGTGAAGACTGAGAACATATAAAAACAGTTTTAAAGCAAAGTCACATTAACAAATGCACCTCTTTGGAACTGAACACGAGGGAAAATTTGGGGGTTTACTCAGTTTTGCAGGTTTTCCACAAAGGTCTGCAGAAGATGCTGGGAAGACTTTTTTGCCATTTATTAGGCTCTGGATAAACCCTGCAGTGATGTAAGGTGGGGAGGACTCCACTCAGTGTAAAGCTGCCCTACCCCTGATGCTGGGACTGCTGAACATCCAGTTTGTCAGTCGTTCACCCTTTTCTCTAACAGCAGATTTCTTGACCCCATCTGGTGTATGAAGTTGCCTGTTGAACTTGTATACCATTCTTTGAGTGTAACTATAGTCTCATCACTTAATGGTGAAATGCTGGTGTAATCAGGATGTGTTTTATTGAAGAAAACTAAAAAAAAATAAAGTCCTGTTTATTGTGGAAACCTAAATTGCAGAACATTGCAATTGGTTTTATAGACACAGGAATCAGCAGATGTATATGTTCATCTTCGGTCTATAACACATTAGTTTAGTATAACTGAAAGTTAGTAAAAGTGGTTCCTGCCTGAACATAAGATGAATGCCTTAGTTAAGAAAAAGCATGCATGAGTGCTTTGTTTTTAATCTTCTGCTGCTCTAAGTAGCAAGAAGAATCCAGAGCAGGACCGCTTGTATTGTTTTAAGTACTTAAGATTTTTGTTAACCCTTTTCATTTGTAGAAATTAAGGCCATTTTGATTTTCCCTGTGCGTCCAGAAGAGTATTTCTAAAATACGTATGACATGTACAGATTTGAGACTTGAGAACAGTTCAGCTGATCATTTTCCACAGGTATTTTATTACCAGGTCAATAAATTGTCTCAAAACTAAAATTTTAAGAGACCAAATTAGTGAAGATGAATAATTCCTTCTATAACCACAACTTTGGGCAAGAAACAGGTTGCGTTGCATGGGCCTGTTGCTACTTGGATGCAACAAAGGGTAGGGAGCATCTCTTCTGTCTTGGCTTTCCTGACCTGTGATTTTCAGCTGTCCTGTGTTTCAGCCCAGGTTATTCTGGTGTGCCTCATCCGTCCAAAGTAAAGCGTTAGCAGAATTTCTGTAGGTTTTGTAAAGCCGTGTTGTTTGGGTTGCTGGATGCCTACAGATACATACGCTTAGCACAGGGCGGGAATAAAAATCGACTGGAGACCTTTCTCAGTGTTTCCTAAACAAAGTGCTTATTCGAAGGAGGCTTGGAGAGTTTTTCCATCATATTTCAGTCAATGGCTTGAGGTGGCATGGGTAACAGATGACCAACGTGTCATTCCCATTTTGCCTGTTTCTCTTGTCACACTGGTGGATATTTCTTCACTTTTGTTCTACTTTAATATGAAGCACACAGATGTTTCAGAACAAGACTTGACTTCTGACCTTGGGGTTTCCAGGGTCAGGGTGCTCAGGGCCTGTGAAATTATCACAAGCTGAGCTAAAGTTTTTATCCATCGCAGGAAGCAACCAGTAAGTAAGAAGTTAAAAAGGAGCTTTGTCAGAGAGACAAGATGGTCTCAGTAAGGGTCAGCTTCTGTAGTCTGCTGTCTCTGCAGGAGACGCATGCCTGAGAGGAAGAATATAATATATAACCATTGGCACATCACATATCTGTCATGCAAAACTAGACCTGAGAAGTGTATTTAATGTAGCCCAATTGTTTTTTAAGAAATCAAAGGATATTAACACCTGGTTTTGGTAGAGGTGGTTTGATACCTGAGCTCCACTGAAAGCAGTTTAATTAAGTAATGCATACACTGAAGCAAATATCATTAAAATAAACCCTGAACTATTTTACCACAATATTAATTTGTAAGATTTTATTTTGTTATGATCTTCTTTCTCTTCAACTTTATATCCATATGGCACTTAGTAATTGCAAAGAGCTCAAAAAGAAAGAAACGGAGCAGCTGATGGGCAATTACTGTCTTATGACAAATACATATTTGATCACTTCACTTTCTTTCCTGCTTTGTGTGGGGGAGATGATGAGGGTGATAGAGCAGCTACACCATATAGCAAATGTACCACCTCTACACTTGCTATGCAAGAATTTTGGGTCAACTGATTCATAAAATTGTAGGTTACAGTAGTTATGGAGACTGGTTGCACAGCTGCTCCTTCTGCATCCGTGCCTCTTACAGGAGAGGAGTGTGAAGCATAAGGCTTTAATTTGGAGTGAAGGTTTCTGCCTGGGCCCTCTGCATTTTATTGTGCCTGCAGGGAAAAAGAAAACAAGCAAAAAAGTCCAAAAACATTTGCGTTTTCGATGAATATCTTTTAAATTCACTTTGCGTGTTCAGTGCTGCAAGGTCTGTCCTGATCGTTAGCAATCATCTCAGTCACAGAGATTCCCCAGTTCATCACTTCGTCATGGTGCAAGGCTCTCAATGAAAACCTGACGCTCTGGCGTTAAGCAGAGAAACCCAATGAAACCTGATATTAAGCAAAGACTTATTCGTGGGTGTTCGTACCATTAGGTGGGAAGAGCTGCTGCTCTCGCGGAGCAGTGGGGGGAGGTGTTCAGCCTTGCAAGGGCAGGACACATCCAGGTGCCCCTTTGTTTGCAGCTGCTAAAGGAGCTGGCACAGGAAAAGCAGCTCTGCTGTGCCTTGTCCTTTTGTTCTGCAGGTTTCTGAAGTCCAGAGCTGGGATGTGAGCATGCTGTTTGGTGGGAATCTCAAAGTGGAAAGAGAGCAAATATGACCATTGTATGTGAAATTGGTATAAAAGGAGGAGCATTTTTGTTTACAAACCTTTGGTGGCCAAATCTGGTCTTCATTCCAAATTTTACCTCACCATGAAAATCAGGCTATGGTTTGGAAGTCCTTCATTAAATGAACCAGTAAAACTTGGCTGCAATTTTCAAATACATGCCACAGCATCTAACATTTTATTGGTCTTTGCAGCTTTTTAATCTACATTTTTGCATGTCTGTGATTGCAAGATGTTAAGAAAAACAGGGTGAGTCTGTAATATCATGCTTGAATGCACAGAAACTGTTACCCAGTTACTGCAACGTGGGCACACAATTTCTGTACCTTGCTGGGTCATAGATTACTAGGGGAATAATTGAAAGTGATTGAACATGTGTGGGAAGTAAAATTCCACCAATAAATGTAATTAGTTGTATTGTTTATAGCTTGAATTACAAATGCTAATCATAAACCATATGCTAAAATGTATCTTAATATTTAGTAATTAAAACTTTGTGTAATTGTGGTTTGAAATTAAATGTGCATCTAATAATATCTACACGTAAATTACTTTTTGAATACACAGCACTAAAAATAGTTGTTGGGTCACTATGTTCTGCTAATTACTGATTTTGAAAAACTCAAGCCGTGATTCATGAACACATCTCAGCTTCTTACTTCTGTTATCCCTTACACAGTGTAGTCGAGGATTTATTTTCAGAAGCAGCTTGCTGTAGTTGATGGTAAATTGTGGAACTTTCCCAACTCCTAGCTTATAATAATTTTATGAAATTTAACAGAAAGTGAGAATTTCAAGTTGATGGAGTCAATTTTATATTTAGTTTACAGAAAATAAGTTTCTGGTACAACGCCTCCTTTGCATTTTTCTGCCAAATTTTGTGGGTTTACAATTATTTTGCTTTAAAAAGAATGTTTTCCCTTGTCATTGCCTGCATGAAAGACCTGCACAGGAGAAAAGATATATTGTGCCCCTGTGCCTACGTGAGTGTTCATCCCCTGCAGATCTAATTACAGCCATTAGGGCCTGGCTGCATGTAGAAGGGACAGAAAGGTTGGTCCTAGGATGCTGGGTGACATGTAAAACTAGCCATGTCCATCATTGTAAAAAATACATAACAATTACTCATTTCGGAATCATGAGAAGAATTATTAAATTGAAGCTTTGAAAATTGTCAACATATAATTGTCAATAATTGTCAATATAATTGTCAATAATTGTCCTATATTCCTGAGACCTTACGCTTTGCATTTTCAAGGGTTTCCTCAGCACCTTCTGAACCAGAATGTACCTTTTTTGTTTTAATTTTAGTTAAATAATATCTTTAAGAAAAAAACACCAAGTGTCATGGGAATCGTGACAAAATTGTGAGAATCAGTAGTGGTATCTCCAGCTTACAGCATTCGTACTGCTGTAAAAATACAAAGCGCATGGGGGAATGTAATATAATTAAATTAGGAGAAGGAAAGTAGGTTCATTGTCTTTGAGCAGATGAGAAACTATTCATTATGGTCTTTGCTGGCTAAAATGTTGGATGTGTATATTGACAATTTGCACAAAGGTGTAGATAAATGTGTGTGTATGTGTGTATTTTTAGGCAGCTTTGTTAAAATGAGAGCCCTTAAAACACACTGTTCAAACTACTGTATCCACTGTAGCTTCCTAATTCCATCAAAATCAGCCAATTTTGTCCATTTGAAATAATTTTAAGTCCATCATTTCGAGATACACTCTGCAATACACTTCCACTTCATTTTGTTGTATTGTGCTGAGTATGGTGAGGACCTGACCCTGGCTAGAGCTGATAGGTGCCATAATAATAATGATGATAAACGGACACCTGCTGAGCTACCTGGGAGTCTCAAAGGCTGCATCAGTATTCTGGCACAGGAAAAATGCAATTTAAGAGCCTTAATGACTGGGCTGTGAACC